GTGTATCTCTTGCTGCCAGGTCCATTTGGTCTCTGGAGATGCATTTATTGTATGGGCAGTTTATACCAGAGTCACCCACAGAATTGGCATGGAAGACAAATAGGCAGCTCTTGTCTTTTAAAGAGCAGTGAACATGGTATTTGCAGACCTGGACTCCAATTCTGGCTTTGCCATTAGCAAGCCTGTTGATCTTTGGTAAGGCACGCCAGATTTCTGGAGCTCAGTTTCCCAATTAGATTAAGCCAGTGTTTGTGAAACCTGGCTGCACACCAGAGTCGTCCGAATTCTTACATAAATTACATAGTTTCAGGCACCCAGCCCAGATCTGCTAAATGAGATTCTCTTGGGAAGGACCAGGGAGCATATCCTTAAACCACTTTGATATTTCTTACACACCTAGTGTGGCTCTAGTCTATGTATGGAAATGTGGGAATCTTGAGATTAGATGATCTCTAAAATACCTTTCGTTTCTAAAATTCTTAACATCATATAAATATGTCTTTACATATTGAATACAGTTGCATATTTAATGTTAACTTAATATTTTAATGTAAGGCTTACTATTTATTTTGGAACCTAGTAAAACAGCTTAGATTTTTAGGTATAATTGGGCTTTATTATTTATGGGTTTTTCTTTTGCCTCAAAATGATGTTTATTTAAATTAAAAATACGACAAATGGTCCATCTCTTGGCTCCCTTCCCTCCCCTGCCATGTTCCTCCCAACTGTCCCCTGGATTGAACCCTGGCTGGGGTGGGGTAGCAGGACAGCCCCTCTCAAATGAAGTCAGCAACACTGATGGGTGTCTCCTTAATGGAGGGGCTGTCAGAGGACTTAATGTCTCATGGAATAGTTGTTTTCAAAATGCCTCATCCTTGATGACTTACAAACACATTTATTCAAATGAGTACCTCCTGTGTCAGACAGTATGTTATGTGCTAACAGGGCCTCCACACGTGGTCTCATAGAGGTGGAGATGAGCAAGATGCAGCCCTTTGTTCACGTAGCTCATAATCTGAATTAATGTTTCTGGGAGAAGTAAATGCCATTTTGTTAAGCTCTGTGCACCATACACACAGACAGGCACACAGGCACACAGACATACACATATTAACATGTACACACACAGAGACACACACATGTACACACACACACACACATCTCATCCAAACTTGTAAACTGATTCCAGACATCTCCGTGGCTACCAAAGTTATTTTCCCAAATTCGCATATGCTGCAGTCCCCATAGTTCTCTATTTCCTGTATCTCTGCTTGGCCATTCAGATGGGATGAGAGGAAATAATGGCTTCTTTCTTACTCTTTTTTAGGCCTACATGGGTTTCTTCTTGACTTTCAGTATAAAAGCTGAAATATTAACAGATGTGTTAAATCGAGGTGGTAGGGACTTGGGTCTTCTTTTCAGTTTTTTTTAAAGTTTTTCATGTTTTAAAAAGAAAAATAGCACAAAGTAATGAAAGATAGTGCTTAGAGCAAGAGCAGCAGTGATCAGTGCCATTCTGGTCATTGAAACCTAAATAACAGAAGAGAGTGCATGGGCCTTAACTGTGTAAAGACATCACATTTGCAAGTTAGAAGGGAGATGGGGAAGGTGATTATAGTCCATGGCTGGGAAGATAGAATGGGTAAGATGACCTTGAAAGATGGCAGTCATCCAAAACCATGAGTGTGAAGGTCAAAAAGGGGTGAGGATGACTTGCTTACCCCAACTGCTGTGGCATCTCACTTTCGGCCATCAGTGTCTTTATAAAAAAGGACACTCGGGAAATTCCAAATATGAACTTCTGAGGGTGAAATGAGTGTGAACAATGCACACTTCCATGAGTGAGCGATGGAGTTGCTACTAGGAATCCACAGTCAGCATATTGCCTTGTCGTACGTCTGCTGTTGAAAGCAGTACCTGTAGATTGTAATACATGATCATCTTGTACTGTCTTCTTTCACTTCTCACCTTTAATTGCCTTCGGATTACTACAGATGTTACAGAATAAATGATTACATTCTGCAGAGGATAGTCTCATACTTTGAAATACCTGCCTGGGATCATATAACTGAAACTTAAAATGTTTTTCTGTTTTTCTGATTTGAAGTCTTGGAATTTGGCCAAATGAAGTAGGACCTAACAGTAAGCTGTATGCGTGTCCTTTCCCCTCTCCTTACTGTTTGCCTCATATAATGAGTTTTCCTAGAAAATGCTTTCTGCAGACAGCCAGATTGTACCTGTTTAGAAAAACGTAATCCTGCTGAGGAGATGGCTCTTTCTTGGTTTGCATATTTTTACCTTGCAGGCACAGTGGCCTCCATCTAGACTGCTGGCTGTGCCCTTCTCCTGTCTTACTCACGCCAGGGGCCTGGAGCACCCACTGAGAGCCAGAGCCATTTCTTTTTGAACTGTTTTATCTGAGATGTTGTGACTGACTAATACTCTTAAGTTGTTTATTTTTGTCTTGGAGGCTCAGCACCTTTATCTGTTCGCTTCTAAATTTACTTACAGCTTTCCGACATCCGTATTTCTTAGCTGTCTTTCTCACTGTGTTTGTTCTTCTTCTCTTCTACCTGTATGTTTTAATGCAGTCTATTAACACTTTCATATCTTTAAAAAGATTTTTTTAATGATTCCTAGTAGAATTTTAAAGGATAAAGCTTCATAGGCAGTGTCAATTAATATAGGAACACTAAAATCATATAATTTATTGTTCTTCAATACTAGAAATGGCAGGCATAGAACTTTAATCTAGATATTAGTTCTGTTTTTCCTGAATATTGATTTGTCTTTGTATTATTAGGGGAGAAAGGCTTTTGGCTAGATTCACCCAAAGCCAGTGCTCGTTGGGATTTTCATAGGAAGACATGGATCACTGAGGATAGAGGGCCGCGGTTTGTGGCTCCCTTACTTTTCTTCCCCAGTGGCATGAATTTAAAGGTTACAAAAGCAAAATGCCCGTTTAGTTCGTCGAGTCGAGAGTGACTTCAGTATGAAGAAAACCAAAGTGTCCCTTCTAAACAGTAGCACTTGCCACTGAAAGACACATGCTTCTCAGCCTTGAAGCTGGACTGTGGTGAGACAGTGCCACCTGTTCTGTGAATTTCTGTGACGTGAATGTGTAACTGCACGTAACTACATATGGTAAGATACATAGGACCCGAAAGTAGAAGCCACAGGCACCCCAGAATGTTTGTCCCGTAGGCCTTGAGTTTCTTCCTCTGAAAAAGACAGCAACAAGTTCTGGTTTAAACATAATAATAATAATGGCCAGGTACAGTGGCTCACACCTGTAATCCCAGCACTTTGGGAGGCTGAGGTGAGCAGATCATGAGGTCAAGAGATCGAGACCATCCTGGCCTACATGGTGAAACCCTGTCTCTACTAAAACTACAAAAATTAGCTGGGCGTGGTGGTGCATGACTGCAGTCCCAGCTACTGGGGAGGCTGAGGCGGGAGAGTTGTTTGAATCTGGATGGCAAAAGTTGCAGCGAGCCAAGATCACGCCACTGCACTCCAGCCTGGTGACAGAGTGAGACTCCATTTCAAATAATAAATAGAATGACACCTGACTTATGCACACCTCCTGGGGCCTCTCTCAGTGTCCTACTAATACCTAAGAAAACCCAGCAAATGGGTGGAAATTCACACTGTGCCCCACAGACTGGGTATGAAAGATTAAAGGTCACCTGCCCCTGCTGTGTCCCCACTTAAAAGCAGGGGAGGGGTCGGGTGCAGTGGCTCAAGCCTGTAATCCCAGCACTTTGGGAGGCCGAGGCGGGTGGATCACGAGGTCAAGAGATCGACACCATCCTGGTCAACATGGTGAAACCCCGTCTCTACTAAAAATACAAAAAATTAGCTAGGCATGGTGGCACATGCCTGTAGTCCCAGCCCCTCAGGAGGCTGAGGCAAGAGAATTGCCTGGACCCAGGAGGCGGAGATTGCGGTGAACCGAGATCGCGCCATTGCACTCCAGCCTGGGTAACAAGAGCAAAACTCTGTCTCAAGAAAAAAAAAAAAAAAAAAAAGCAGGGGAGGATCTTGGTCCCCATTTTGCCTCCACTTCTGAAATACAACATTGGTACCAGCCAGAAATCGGCAACATCCCTTCACTGTGTGCTTTTGACTTCTGAGGCTGCTAAAGCATTGTGATGTTTCTTGTCATTCACCAGGCAGGAAGTGGGGGGAAGTAGTAAAAGCCTACAGAGGAATAAGAAAAATGTGTGAAGAAACAAAGGCTACAATGCTGGGATGAAGAATAAGAAAAGGAATCTTGTGACAGAATATGAGTATCAGTGGTCATTTTTCAATTGTCAGAGCTCCAAGGAGTCACCAAATTTGAAGTTTATATAGTCAGTTAATACCCCACACAGACACACACACACACACACACACACACACACACACACACACACATTCATAGCACTGTGCTCAATGGTTTGGATTGGATTTGGAAAGTAAAAGACAGATTGCTGCCTGATTTAGGATAGAGATTACATCTGTTTAGTTTGTTATCTGTACCTAGTACCCCGTATGTGGTAGAGACCCAGTACTTATTTGTACAGTAAATAGATGAATTTATGAAATAAATGGATGATCTGGGTAAAGATATGGAGAATGGAATGAACACATGATGTAGAGCCAAACTCTGCCTGAGAGAATCTGTTTAAGGAATCCCTCTAAAGTAACAATACGGCTAGTTAATATAGGGCCTTTTTTGTCAGACTTCGAAATTTAATTTTAATTATACAAATGCTACAGGGCCAGTGTATGGTTGGAAGAAATGATGCACAGGGTAATGAGTGGATCCTGGCTGGCCAGGTCAGCCTAGTAGTAGTGGTTTGGCGGGAATAGGGTACTGAGAGCAAGAGAACCAGTGAGTGTCCCTTTAGAGTGTTTCAAGCATGGCAGCTTTTGGAATCCCCTGTAGAGTGTCCCTTCACTTCTCAGATTTGAGTGTATTTAAGGTGGCTTTTCTTTTAAAATGTGTGCATTAGATTCTGCTTCGTGAAGGCTGCAAGAAGATTCTCGTAGCTGACTCTTTGTCCTTACTGAAGAAAATGCACCGAACTCAAATGAAAGGCGTGCTTGTTGATGGTGGGTAAAATTGAAATAATCACATAGAACTGCAGGCCCTGCTTTCAGAAATGGCCGAGCGGACATAAACAGGGTATAATTCAAAGTGTGTGTGTTTTCTTACAGAGGAGAACATCTGTGAATCATGCCTTTCTCCTATTCTTCCATCAGGTAAGAAGGTTTCCCCAAAAAATGTCCCAAATATGTGTTTGAATGATGAGTGGAGTCAAAATTTTGGAATTAGCCAACTGCTGTTTATAAAAGTATATAATTTCAGAATGACCCAGTGGAGGGAAGTGTGGCTCACATCCCGCTCAGTGGAATGCAGGTGTAGCCATTGCTTAGAGCTGAGTTTCTCAAGCTCTAGGGTCAGTCAGCGTCACCTGGCAGGCTTGTTGGAACCCAGATCGCTGGCCCAGTCAGGCTCCCTAGAGACTCTGGTTCCAGACTTCCAAGGCAGGATTTGAGAATGTACATTTCTGACAAGTTCCCAGGTAATGTTGATGCCACTGGTTCAGGGGCCATTGTTTTAGAACTGCTAGTCTAGGGTAAAACAAAATGAAAACTAGCCATCAGCATTTAAATTTCAAGGTAGAAGAACCACGTATGTGTCTGGGGAAAAAGTATTTACAGGTAGCATTCCCTTTTCTTTAATCTTTTTCTCTGCTATTGGTTCTACATGCCCAAGTCATCTCACATTTCAATAGAAACAATATATATATATATATATATCTCCATCTGTAATGAAAAGCCTCTTAAGGTTTATTATGACATAAGAAATTTGCATAATTCAAAAGCAGAAATTCACAAAACATCATTTTCAGGATGCTAACAAGTGCTTTTGAAATAGAAATTCAGCATAACAAAATATTAAAAGACTTAGGTGGCCTCATGTTTAGTTAGCATTAAAGGATTATTTCGTGGGGCAGTGCATGAGAAGTTGTTCTGTTAGGTTCTTTGCTAGAGGAAATAGATTTGGATTTTTGAGTGCTTCTCTTAAAAACTTCAGTGAGCTCAGGTGAAGAAGTGAGCTTCCATAGCATTTCAGCCAGTGTTTCAGCAAAAATGAACCACATGCATTCCCACTCTACAGTTAGATTAAATTCCAACTGTAATCTGCAGATGACACGAAATCTTACCAAAAATAAGCTGGCCACACAGAGCAGGAACAGATGAGGAGATCTCCCCAAGCAGAAGTACAGTAAAATGCAAGGTCACAGCCTGGGCTTTTAAGCCAGGTCTGCCTCTGAAGTGGTGTGTGGTCTTGGCAAAGGCAGCAGGTGGACTGGGAAAGCATTTTAATGAAGCCACAGACTCAACTTCAGCTGTGGTGTGTAATGACTACAGGGGTTAGGGGCGCACAGACACATACACATGCCGATTTTCAAGGTAAAGGTTACTGCAGTTGTCCTCAGTGTAGTCTTGGTAACTGACACAGAAGCTAAGCAAGTAACCTGTGAATCAAGGAGCAACACGATTGTAATACCTGTTTTGTGTTTGATCAAAGCACCCCTCAGGAATGCCTTTGTAAATAAGCCACTCTCTAAAGGCGGCTTCCTGCTGGAAAGTTAACTGCAGCTGGACTCTCAGTCAGGATTGGTTTAAAATGATCTTGCTTGTTGCATTGAGTTCTCCTCCTTTATCTGCCTTCCTCACCAGATGCAGCTAAGCCCTTCAGCGTGGTCGTCTTCCATTGCCGGCATATGTTCCACAAGGAGTGCCTGCCCATGCCCAGCATGGTGAGTTGGCAGCTTGGCACCTATCAACTATAGGGAAATTAACACAATTAGAGGAATGTGCTCAAAACTATAACGCTTCATTCTTATGGCTCCATGAGTTAAAAAAAAATTATAGATTCATATCACATAACAAATTAATCTAGTTTTCAAATGCAAAAATATTTAGAAAGGCTTTGTATACTATAGTAAACAGAAAAGCGTACCCATTTGAAGGAATGTATTCAAGCCAAATGAGCAGCTGTGGGGCTGTTAATTTGGTGTTGAGCAACAACAGGAGAGAGCCATCCTCTATGTGATGTTTCTCAGCCGGATTCGTGTTCCATGAGGCTATCATGTTTTTAGTGTCATGTTCCCCCAGGTCATGTTAGACTTACTCTGCTGTTGAGTGTCCTTTGAGTCATAGACTCACAGCTGATCTAGTCTGAATCTTACATTAACTGGAAATAAACTCCAGAGAAAGGAGTGGCATTTCATTACTTCCTCTCTACCCCCTGACTAATGCTACCCTAGTATTTCCGAATATGAGAGCAGAAAAAGGAGATCATTTTTTAAATCTGTGTTTTTAAATTGCATTTTTAGAACTCTGCTGCACAGTTCTGCAACATCTGCACTGCTAAGAACCGTGGACCAGGAAGTGCAATTTTGGAGATGAAAACGTAGCTCGTTTCTGCTTCACAGTCTCCTCGTCATCGCTCTTTTTGAGACTGTTTCCACAACAACACAAGCATTTGTTGACACTCATGCTGTTAAAAGATTTGTTTATGTTTAGATTATGCTCAAAAACAGTTTCTTTATCCCTGTACTAGTGGCTTCTCTGCATTGACAAAGGATTTGGGGTTCTCCCATGCTTTGAAATTTTGGGGTCCATAGTCAATATTTTATTATTTATTTGTTTGGCTCATTGTTTATATAGTAATGGAAACATAAGTCTGGGAGTTAGAACTGACTTTTTTAGACCTTAGAAAAACCGTTTAACCATAAAATGAACTACTGAGAATTGTCCCAGCTGCCTGAAAGCGTCACCAACTGAGGTTATACTGCAAGCTACTACCTACACCTTGGACCTGTTTCCCTGTGCTCTGCCAGCCACCATTCTTGCATTCTGGGTTTGACTTTTTTCTATGTCATCAACTATGGTTATCCTCTAAATAGGCATTTAACGAAACATTGTACAAATTGTCACTCATTCGGTGACATCTGGGAATACTATTAGCAGGCTGATGTCCTGCACCTTTATGTTTACTAATCACCTGTTCTGTGTGCCCTGACAACTGGCAGAGTATCTGGCCATGGCAAACACTCAACATTTGTTGATTGAATAAATGTTAGCTCTTCTCATTGTGAAGGACTCACTTTTACTGGGATGAACAGATGCAGTTAAGAATTCTGGCACCCTTGTAAGGAAGAGAAGAGAGTTCAGCGCCTTTGAGTCTGAGCACTTGTGACTAGGGTTTGCCAGGAGGGAGGAAATCAGTGACCCTGTGAAAACTGAGGGTGTCTCAGGAACAGTGGACCGCCTGATACTGAAGGATGGGCTAATGATGTTTCCTCTTGCCTCCTCTGAAGCCTCCATTAGTTGTATTCCTAGGTATTTTATTCTCTTTGTAGCAATTGTGAATAGCAGTTCATTCTTGATTTGGCTCTCTTTAAGTCTGTTATTGGTGTATAGGAATGCTTGTGATTTTTGCACACTGATTTTGTATCCCGAGACTTTGCTGAAGTTGCTTATCAGTTTCAGGAGATTTTGGGCCGAGACAATGGGGTCTTCTAAATATGCAATCATGTCGTCTGCAAATAGAGACAATTTGACTTCCTCTTTTCCTATTTGAATATGCTTTATGTCTTTTTCTTGCCTGATTGCTCTGGCTAGAACTTCCAGTACTATATTGAATAGGAGTGGTGAGAGAGGGCATCCTTGTCTAGTGCCGGATTTCAAAGGGAACGCTTCCAGTTCTTGCCCATTCAGTACGATATTGGCTGTGGGTTTGTTGTAAATAGCTTTTATTATTCTGAGATACGTTCCGTCAGTAGTTTATTGAGAGTTTTTAGCATAAAGCGCTGTTGAATTTTGTCAAAGGCCTTCTCTGCGTCTATTGAGATAATCATGTGGTTTTTGTCTTTGGTTCTGTTTATGTGGTGAATTATGTTTATAGACTTCTGTATGTTGAACCAGCCTTGCCCTCAGAGAACAAAGCACATCACAGAGGAAGAAAAGTCAAACTCGTGATCGTGTCTTACAGTTATTGGCTTCATCCGTCTTGGGATGCATGGCCATCCTCTAATGAGTGTAAAAGTGCGCAAAACTCATCCTCATTGTTCCTCCTCTCTTAGTCCTATAAATGGGAAGAAATATAGCTTTCCCCTTCTGTCTTTTTTGGGGAGACCAACCCAATTTAAAATATAGGTGCTAGTGAGTACTGACAGCATGCCAGCTCCGGAAGTCGCCCAGCCATTCCCATGAGCAGCAGTTCATTTTATTGTCACAGCATCACCAGGAAGAAGATCTGATAGGCCTTGGTTTACAGATGAAGAAATAAAAATGTAGAGATGTTGTCGAGGTCACAGAGTTGACTATCTAACTTCAGGGCAGGGCTCCTGATCCCTTTAAGAAATCTTAGGGCCAAGTTCAGAGGAAATACACAGAACAGAACGTCACATTAAAGTTAAAATTCTCTAGCAGACAACAGTTAAAATTCTCTAGCAGACAATAATTTCTTGTTGTTTTTAGTCATAAATATGTAGAACTGGGAGGTGATTTGTTATTACTGAATGTACCCCTCAGCCTTCTCGGCATTTCTTTTTCCCAAGACCAGTGCACTCTCTGCTACACTGCCCGTTTTCAGTTTGGGGTTTTGCTCTTACTCAATTGTTATTTATTTTCAACATGACCAATTTAAAGATTCAGCTTATTACATTTGCATTAATCCCCTTTTATGATTTGAGCAAGCTCATTTCCAGGAAGGTTGAATTTAAGACCATCAATAGGATTTGCTAATTTCAATGAAGTCATTTTGCTTCAGGGTAAATTATCCTAGTTACCAAGTCCCATTTGGACATAAAGAAAATCCTAGTTACAGAAAAGGAGATCATAATTAACCTGTCTTCATTTTTAAGTAACCGATTTAAAAGAAAAATAAATAGCTTCATTCATTTCAGAAATTACTGTAACACATTGGAAAATTTCTGAACAATATGGATTTTATTGTTAATACAAAACACTAGCTTTCCTTCCTTAGAATAAATTTTCTTTTGAATAAACAATATTGGGTGATTTGTTAATAGATATTCAATCCTTTTTACTTTTCATCAACCTATAAGGGCTTAAATATGGCAAAATAATCCAAATGTTAGCCAGTTATTTTTCATGTGTGATTAGCCCAATTTACAATATAGATAAAAAGCAAACCCATTCCCCACGGATTGGGGAAGAACATAGTGCCAGGTACAAACTTCACATCCTCTCCTCAGAGAAAACTATTCTTTTTGTTTGTTTGTTTGAGGGGGAGTCTCTCTCTGTTGCCCAGGCTGGAGTGCAGGGGCGTGATCTGGCTCACTGCAACCTCCGCCTCCTGAGTGCAAGTGATTTTCCCGCCACAGCCTCCATAGTAGCAGGTACTACAGGCACACACCACCATGCCCAGCTAATTTTTTGTACTGTAGAGGAGATGAGATTTCACCATGTTTCCCGGGCTGGTCTCAATCTCCCCAGCTCAGGCAGTCTGCCCACCTCGGCCTCCCAAAGTGCTAGGATTACAGGCATGAGCCACTGTGCCCAGCTAAGAAAGCCATTCTTGGAGTGTGAAAGAGCCAGGCTCAAAATCATTTTGGAGTACTTTTGTTTGCTTTTGTTTTTAGCTACAGGGATTTCATACTGGTTTAATTATGTTCATCCTTGAGAATTTTTGAGAAGTTTCCAACAGATTTTTAATTCATTTAAATTATAGAGTTAAGCTCCACGTTACAGAGTTAGGCTCCATGTTACAGAGTTAGGCTCCACGTTACAGAGTTAGGCTCCACGTTACAGAGTTAGGCTTCACGTTATAGAGTTAAGCCAAATGCAGTTGATAGTTGAACAGCACAGGTTGGAACTGTGGGGATCCACTTATACATGGGTTTTCCTCTGCCTTTGCCACCTCCGAGACAGCAAGACCAGGCCCTCCCCTTCTTTCTCCTTCTCTCAGTGTGAAGATGACAAAGATGAAACCCCTATGATGGTCCACTTCTACTTACGGAATAGTAAATATATTTTCTTTTCCTTATGATTTGCTTAATAACATTTTCTTTACTTTTATTATAAGAATATAGCACGTAATATAAATGAAATATAAAATATGTGTTAATGGTCTGTTTATGTCACCAGTAAGACTTCCAGTCCACAGTAGGCTATTAAGTTTTGGGGGAATCAAAAGCTCTATGTGGATTTTTGACTGCATGGGGTGTCAGCACCTCATCCCCCACATTGTTGAAGAATCTACTCTATTTTAATGTTAGAAACCAAACATGTATTGAGTAATTACCATGTGTCAGGAACTATTAGAATCACTTTGCTTATACTATTTAATTATATTAATACAATCCTATGAAATAGGTATTACCGTCGTCATAATTTTACAGATGAAGAAACGGAAGCACGTAAAAGTTAAGTCACTTGTCCAAGGTCAAGTAGCTGAGAGTGGAGCACCTAGCTGAAATTCAGACCCATGCAGTCGTCTTCAGAGTTCCTGATCTTAACTGGTGCGTATTTGATTTTTTTTTTTTTTTTGGTAAAAAATACTTATTTGACCTGTTTTGGTCATTGTATAGAAGGCAAAATCCACTCTTGTAATGGAGAGGGATTTATTTTATTTTATTATTATTATTTTTTTTTTGAGACGGAGTTTTGCTCTTGTTACCCAGGCTGGAGTGCAATGGTGCGATCTCGGCTCATTGCAACCTCTGCCTCCTGGGTTCAGGCAGTTCTCCTGCCTCAGCCTCCTGAGTAGCTAGGATTACAGGCACGTGCCACCGTGCCCAGCTAATTTTTTGTATTTTTAGTAGAGATGGGGTTTCACCATGTTGACCAGGATGGTGTTGATGTCTTGACCTCATGATCCACCCGCCTCGGCCTCCCAAAGTGCTGGGATTACAGGTGTGAGCCACCGCACCCGGCCTAGGGATTTATTTTAAAGTGTTGAATGGCTTACAAAATCATTGATGGGAATGAAAGAAACAATAAGGGAGCTTTCAAGCAATTCACAAAGCCACGGAACTGGGCTGCCCAGGGGATCACTGCCCCTCCACCATCAGAGATGGGCTGCACATAGCAGGCAGCGGTTGTCACCTTTACGTAAGCATTGGTAAGTAGAAGTGTACACATCACTCAGTTTCTCCTAAAGCCCTTTCTTAGTAACATTGAGTCACGGGTATACGTATGTGTACAGGAGACATTTCTAGTGCTAAATACTACATCAGTTCATTCTAGTTTCTATCATTAGGACTCAGGCTACTAAAACCACCAATTTTGGTAGTAAACTGTAACTTTCACTTCCCGTTCCTGGCACTCTTAGGCTAAATGCTGATTTATGAAATCTGGAGTGAAGTGCCTTTTCTCATGCAGTGCAGGTTTTGGAATTATTAGGATGAATGCAACATTCGTAGTAAAGATAAGACAGGAGTGAGAATGAGAAACCAAGCCAGCAAAAGCAGGTCTCAGAGTTGGCCACTCTCCAGACCTTTCTTTACGTTTACCCAGAATGGCAGTTCTGAAATGAAAAGGAAGTCATGCCATTCCCCTTCTCCAGTCTCGGGAGTCTTTGTGCCCTGTGTGTGAAAGGGCTTCCTGGCTTGGCTTAAGCAACCCATTGCACTGAACTTGGCAGCCTCCCTTTTTCACTTCCTGAACTCTGGTCATTGTGAATATACTTGGGGTTCCCTTCACCTCTGTATCGCTGCTATCTTTCAGTACTCTGCTCAGATGGGACTCCTTTCTCACCCTGACACCCTCAGACTGGACACCCTCTCACTTGTCCTCATATAGTAAAGACCCATCTGCCTTTGTCACACTGCATTGCAGTTGTCTATGTAGCAAGTATAATCTTAGTCCACAAACTCAGGTCTACAAATGAGTAAAGGCTTTTAAGTGTTCTCTTGAGTTCACATTCTACCTAGTGGCATAAACGTAACTTAGTTCATGGTAAACTCAGATAAATCAGGCTTTTCTTGATTAGTTGAGGCACCCCCTTTTCTCCTAGGTTGCTTGAAGTTTGGGGGTTATGGCAGGAATGGTCTCCTTGTGCCCCAGATTCAATTAGAAGGACGCATGTGGTCCTCAGTGGATCTCTACCCAGGCTGGCATTGGCTGA